AATATTAGTTATTAGTGAAACGATACAGCTGAAAAAGCGAAAAAGAATAAAAATGATTCTTGTTTTCTTAGATTTAATTTTATAGAAAAAAATAAATAGACAACTTTTATATAATAATTTAAATGTTAATCGTATTATATCTCTAACATTTGAATTAATCCTTGACATTCAACGTGACATTTAATCAATTAATATTGAGTTGAGAAAATATCTAATGACCTATTGAAAATAATATATAAAAACAATTAAAAGTAACGATAAAGTTTTACCTTATATTATCCTCATCGACAATAAAACGACACCTCTGGCATTGTGTTTTGAACTAAGCCGCTCAATAATTTTATCGAAATCTTCGGTTTTCGCATTTCTCAAGATTTTCTCGCTAACTGCTACACAGACACTATATTCCATTGACAATGAGATAAAACTGGCAATTCCCTACAATTAAAATGATGTAACGAGTAACAATTAATTTGCATTTAAACAGTTAGAATAATACAAGTTTTGATTTTAAAAATGTGCTATTACATTACAGTATTATTACAATACAATATAGCAGACGAGTCTATTAATCTATTATTTAAGAGCAAATAGGATTGAGGATCCTATAATTAGAGAAAAAAATAATACCGTTGATACGCATAAAAAATATACAAGTATAATTACCTTCTCTCCATAATCACCTTCAACCGCAACCGTGGAAACGTATTTCCAACCGAGTTGATGAATGATTTCCACCATGGCTTGAGCTTGAAAATTATCTGGTGGTACCACTCTACTAAAATATTCGAAACGACTCTTATCCGACAGTTCTGTGCTCGTTGATGCGTAACTTATTTGTGGTATCTACAATCGGAGTAATTATCATTTTTCTTGATTATTTCTTTCAATTTTCTTTTTTTTAATTATTATTTATCATTATTTTAGAAAATAAATTTAAATAGAATAAACAATATAAAAGTTTCACATAATGAACGAAATACGATATTTGATTTATGTCAAAAAATATTTAAAAATAATTCAAAAGTCTATAAATCAAGAATTCATCCTTGAAATTTTTAAATTGCATTGGAACACTTTTTTTTTTACACATCTTTGATGTCGAAATCTTTTGATATGTATGATTCTACGCGATGTAAATGCATTCGGAATCACGTAGGTGGAAGAAGCATACGATGTAGATGGGCGGATAGGTTGAACAATATTAAAATGAATGGAAAAATGTAAAACAGATTTTTTGTGATTTATTCTAATATTTGCCATTCCCTTTAAGCTTAAATGTATCTGTAAATGTATATGCAACCGAATATTTGACAATGTAGTTTTCGCATCGTATATCGTATAATTTTAATCGATTGAAAGAGAACAAATATAGAAAGTCAATTCATCTGATTTCGAATATTTAAGTTTTCCACGTTTCAAAACGAAAGCTTAAAGTAAAATATAAAATAACGAAAGATTCAGATATTTTTCATTCGAATAAAATATTTAATTTTTTATTTCAGCGAGCTTTCCACTCTACTGACCTTGAATAATCGCAGAATATTGGCTACCATAATGGAGACTACACTGAAGGAGGCTCCTATAACACCTGTAACAGGTTTATGGGGCACGTACATCGGTGGTTTGTCATTTTCACATTTATATTCCGATATATCCTGAAAATGAATAAATAAAAGAAAATTCAATCGTATCTATTCCACTTGCCGATCGAATTGATGTAAAAGTATGGTTCTCATTTATATCCCAACAACAGTTTATTTGTTATTAAAAAATTGTACTCAAGGATTTTCAACAAATCACGTACAAAAAGATCTTTATGACAAAGATGGCCAGATCATACACGCATGTGTTCTATAGTAAGGTGTCATGCTGTTCCTCGCAGTTCCCGTATCCCCTTGGCGACAGGTGTCACAAGACTGAAATTTCACGTAGAGTAATTTCAGGGCAAAGCGAAGAAATGTAAGTAAGTTAAGTTAAAATTGTAAATTAAAACTTTTCTTTTGTTTCCTTCAGCTTGAACTCTCTAATTTGACAAATTTTAAAACAAAAGAGGATATAAAGGATACACGAATCATCCACGTATAGAGTAAGTAAACATGCCTTAACACAAAGAGTAATTTAATACAAAGGATAATACGTCAGATAATCTGGCTACCAGCTGTGCACTCACTAATACCTGGGTACCAGATGGTCGTGAATGTGAACAATATTACCTTACTATTATCTTATCCATTGTTATTAAGATCGAATTAATTTTAAACGATTCTTTGATTGAGAAAATATTTTCAATTATCGGTTTAAGGTTAAAGAAAAAAAAAAAAAAAAGAAAAGAAAAAAGATACATAATATAAGACGAATCTTATGGAAATTTCTAAACAGTTGATTTTTAATTGCCGTCCACAACTTCTAACGGAATAAGTTTGTTTCTCTTTCTCTAAGAGAAGTAGTAACGAGCTAAGAATGTAACGGAAGGTTATGATTTATTAAAAACTTAGGAGACAAAGAGAATGGAGAGTCGTAGAGGAGATACCTCAAAGTATGGAGAGTGTATACAGAGTTTTAAAGAGGCGCTTTAGGGTACATATGCTAGAGTTTAGCTACGGAATTATAGTCGTTGTAAGTTAGAAGCAATTAAAAAGATATATAAATTTCATCCATGATAAACTTTATCATTATGGTTCGTTAATTAACGTATTAATAAACGCACATTAATTCACAGGCAACAAGAAGAGAATGCAAACTACTTATTAATATACCGCAAGTTGTTACAATATGTAATTGGATGGTATTCCAACTGCAGAATATATATATATAGATAATATTATTATAGTGAATTCACACTCTTGTATTATTTTCAAATCGATTTTTAATACGATACATTGACGACTGATCTCTCGAATGATAAATATTGATATTGATATCTAAGAATGATAGATATCGAAATTGATTTCCATTTCTTATAATGCAAAAACATTTTGAAATGTTGTATCTGTGATTATGATTTTATCGTATTCGAAGTAAATTCTTATTCATATATTGCACATATCTTGAATACGTACTTCTATATAATTCTTCTGCCTTGTTTACTGACCTGGCATATACTATTGATTTTAAGTGACCCCACAAATAGAAATTGGAATTTTCCCATGTCAACACATATGATATATGAAAATATTCGTACACAATTTTACATATACGTATATTAGGCTTAAATTTCGAGTTTTGATCCAGTGATTAAAGGTGATTACATTCACTTATCCAATTTTGGTATTATTTAATAGCTTTTGCTTTAGTTCGAGGATTTGATGGTATTAAGAGTAATTTGGCAGAAATTTTAATTTTATATTTCTCTTTTGCTATATTCAGATAAAATTTTTTTTTTCACTCAAAATATTCAGATTAAATATTTTTAGTTTTTATTTTTCATTCATTTAAAAGGTTTTGTTTTAATTTGAAATTTATTCGGAATGCATTTAAACAACATGTAAATTTTCTTTGCAACTTTTTTGAAATCCTTCAATTTTATTTGGAATAGAATTATTCGAAACAATTCACCAAATTAAATTCATTTTGCATATGGAATATAATCATAATTCTCAAACAACATTTCACTTCATATATAATTCAGTGCATTCCTGAAAATATTTTATGCTTTTAGAGATATTTTCACCGATAAACACAAGAAATATTTATATTGCAATTGTAAGAAAGCGATAATGTTTTATGTATCAATGAATCTAAATGAATTGAATTTTCTCTACGAAATCTGAATTTTTTATATATGTTTCTATAAAAGTACCGATATTAAAGATAAATGTACGTATAATTAGGATAGAAAATATATTTAGATTAAATAAAATTTTAATTTTCACGATTTTATTTGTGACAAATTTAATATTTAAATGTCAATTAAATTATCATTTCAATCGAGACCGAATAGTGTAGATAATTTATAGTTCATTTCGAAGGTACAGCTATTGAACAATGAAATGTTCAATTAAACGATTTTATTCATTCATTCGTTTATCGACAATCTCTGTGCAACGTGAAATTATTACCACGAATTTCAAAAATAATTGATAAACAGTTGATAATTCATTCAATTTATGAATTTCGTGGTTTATCCAAACTCAGAAATGTTGTTATAATTATAATTTTATATTACAAAATAATTTCAGTTTCAACATTATTAACATTTTGGCAAAAAGTTGGGAATAATTTTCAGCACGAACCACTGCTATTTCAAAATGCAAAGTTATATAATAGAATTAAAATTTAATAACAACAAAATAAATAGTTAAAACAAATAATTATATTAAAATTACTAGATAGAAAAGAAAAAGTTTTTGTGTTAGATTTATATCGTATACATAAACAATACAAACGTCCATTATGTTTGAAATCAAAGGAGATGACAGGATATCGATTCTAAATTTTCTACTTCAAGTCAGATGTGACCAAAGAAATGGTGGCCTTTGCTAAAGATATGTCTGCATCAGTGCTTATCGCCGCATCTGGATAAAATAAAAGCTCAGGAGTAGCAGATGCTCTTCCCTATCATTTCTAGTTGAATAAGAATTTTAAATACAACATGATATTCTTTTCTTCCATACCTTCTGTTTTTTTCTTTAGAAAGTTAATTAAAAAATTTTATATATTTATCATAATTATAATATATTACGCGAAATAATTACTAACTTTTCTTCTTTTTATTATCTATACTATCTTTTTACTATATCGTACATTATCTTATAAGCATTGTTAAAATTATAACAAGACTAATATAATTTCAATTAACTCTCAATTAACTCAATTAACTCTATTATCACGTCATTTATTACGTTTATTATTAATCATATTGTTATATTAAATATTTTATTAATTAATATTGTCAATCAATTTTATTGAAAATAAATTCTTAAAATGAAAATCATGTCAAATTTATTGTAAATGGAATTTAATAAAAGTAAAATTTGAAAGTGATCGATGTTACATCTATTAACTCTATCGATGTTAAATAGATAAAGTTCAATCTATCTGAATAAGCCTTGAAGGCATACTTAAGATAGATAAGATAATCTTAAAAAAAAATCTTATAATTCTGATTATAACAAAATAAAATTCATCGAGACCAACCAGATTTTAAATTTCAAAAAAAATCGCAAGAAAATATGAATTTTTAAATTAATAATCGATAAAATTACATATATATATTTTTTCTTTTTTTTTTACAACTAGCAAGATTCTGAAGTATAATTGAAATATACTTACTTGATTCATATAGGATCTAACAAATTCCATACTCTGGTCAAGCGCATAAGTGTCACTGCTGCAAGAATCGAGAATAAGTGCGCCCAAGGTGGTGTTAGGTAATAAATCATCGTCTGAATTTATCTCGTCCAAAACGTACAACATAGCCTCCAAACGTTGCATCCCTTTCTCTTCTTTCACCGCACCGCATGGTGATTGACCGATGGAACTTGCCACCTTTGAATGTAAAAAAAAAAATAACATGGCCATGAATAAAATACATGTGTAATATAATCGACTCTCAGCTTGTTCGATAATCGTGCTTTCTTACGTCTTGTTTTTACACATAAATCTACTTTGAAAGGATTTCTTCATAAAGAACGAGCTTTTATTTAAAATCCTTCTCCGAACGTGATACAAATAATCTACTAATATTTTCATGGTTCACAGAAACGTGTAGTATTTGCAAAGATGGTTTATGCTCTTAAAAAATAACCCTTGTACAAAATAGAGTATTCTTTATTGCTACAATATCTTGAATTATATATAGCTTGAAAATTTACACGTATGTCACAGTTTTTTATCTACGTCTATATTTTACATTCTTATATGAAAAATTGTAAATAATTTTCATTCTATCTTATAAATTATTACGGAGATAAATATTAAGTACAAGATGTGTATCTTGAATTAACAATTCTTTTTATTCGTAAATTCTCGCAATAAAAATGATAATCAAATAGCAATATAGCAGTTTTGGCCGATCGACAGAACCGATTGCCGATTTTAAATCAAGTTAGAAGTATACGTAAGAGTCAACAACATTTCGAGAGCGAGAAGATTTGTACAAGAATTTCACAATAGTATATCTTATGTTCCACTTTCTGTGTACATATAGTATATGTATCTATACAAGGTGAGATAAATAAAGCGTGACAAGCTGTTTTCTCCGAAACTATTGCAAATACTATTTTATTTTTATCAAACTACGAACGGTATAATAAAAAAAGGAAAACTGAATTTTTCCAATGTAATGAGGTTAATTTTTGGAAAAAAAGTAATTAGAAAAGAAGCGCATATTTCATTTGAATGCATGAACCATTTTAATTGCTGAATCTTTTTCGTTGTTGAAGGAAAGTTCGATTAAAAAATCGATTGAAAAATAAGAAATTAGAAATTTTAAAATACATAAATGATAGAAAAAAATCGAACAATGTTTTCAATTTCATTTTTTTGAATAGTACAATATTTAAAACCATCCTCGTTATTTATGAAGCCTCGTAGCTTCCGGTCACAAGATTCACCCTCTGTATTTTCTTCTACTATTTTAACTCGACTTGAATCTTAACTCGTCATTGTTGGTCGCATCTTATATGAAATGAAAGTAAAAAATAATAATTCGAAATAATGAGTTGTATCTAGTAATTTTATAATAGCGTAAAAGTAATACATTTAAAAAGATAACTATATTTTACGTTTCTAAAAATTTATTAGATATTTTGAAATAATTTTCTAACTGAATTGAATGAAATAAAAGTAAAAAAAAAAAAAAAAAAAAAAAAATAAAATAGGAAATAATTTCATAAGCTTTTGTAGTTACATGTGCGAGACACTATGAGAAAAATTGTATTTCTGACCAAGTCGACTATGTAGAGGTAATGAAGATCGGAAATTGTTGGAAAAATTTATATAAACACGAAAGAAAATAAAAAAATTTCAATTCACAATGGAATATTGAAATAATTTAAAGAAAAATCATTCGTTTGTCTTTCAAATAAACTGAAGCATAATTATACGAATATAATAATCAAACAAAATATCTGTTATTTATGATACAATTATTTGTAATATAAATTATTATTTAAACAATTATTGTTAAAAAATTTTATTCAAATTATGACATATCTGTATATGGATAATTGTGATAATAACTCTCCATACATTTATTATTTTATCAACAAATATTAATTAATTAATAATTACTGATTTTTTTTCTTCTTTATTATTTTGATCTATATGACCTGGATATCCTACATTTTCGATTCTTGAACGTGTGGAAAATTCAAGTTTCAATAATTTGAAAAATATTAAACAATACTTTAACATTTTAGTGATCCTCCCTGGGATTTTAATCTCACAATAAACGATTTTCTGCAGTTTCATTTCTTTTTCAGTGATTTACTATCTTCGTAACTTTCTTCGGAGATATTAAAAACTAACACATTTTTCCCAAATGTGTCTTCCTTTATTTTCCCATTAAATATAAGCGATTTTTTTATAGATAACTTTAATAATTTTCATAACTTTTAGGATTTAACAACAAATAGTGAAGAGATACAATTTTTTATAATGTAATTAATATAAAAAAAAAAAATAAAGAAAAAATCAAAATGTCCAAACACTGAATGAAATGGAATATTTCGATAAATTGTTTAATCAACGCTAAATCATTGCTCTTTAAACGTACAGTATCATTTTAAAGTGCACGACATGACTTAATTTCAACTTACTATTTAACTGTTAACGTGTATTACGTAAACAATTAGCTGTCTGCGTTTATCTTTAAAAGAGAATGCACGCTGGATGAGTCCAACAAATTGGCAAAGTTTTGTTAAACAGTGAAAGGAACAGTTGGAAAGTTTTCGTTAGTTCGTATAGCATAGATTCAACCATTAAAGCTAATTTGTAGAAAACTGAACCAAATTACTCTTACATCCTCCTCTATTATTTTATCTTCTGGAACAATATACTTATATTATTTTTAATAATGGAATTACATGATTATTTTTTTTTTTTCACAGAATGAAAAACTAAAAATTTTGACTTATCAAAGACAAATATTCGTTTCTTCAAGTTCTGTCAAAAGTCAATTTCCACGTTCCATTTTCTCGCATCAATGGATTGTCCAACGAAAAGAAAATCCATGCATAGAAGGAAGGAAAATTGATTCTATTCGATTCTATTTATTACCTAATCTACACGAAGAAAATTTAAGTTACATATTTATGCGACGATTTATACGCAGAGCGTCTTTTAATTTCAAATATTTCGCGATTAAGGCATTAAGTAATTTTAATATTAAGCAACAACTTTTAGCAACAAGCAAATTGCCGTTTAAACAAGAATTAACCTCATGACCTCTCGTGATCGTCTAACTGTAAATCCTGAAGACAGTTTGCCTTCACGCTACTTTTAAAGGATACACGTAGCATAGATCTTGGACATTAAACTGTCTAAAAGCGGAGCAGAGGCGAGTAATTCGCTCTTGAAAGCCGCATATGCATATATGTCAGCATTAATACATACTTGCACTGAATAATTAATTGCCTTCCGGTGGAAACCACGTTCACGTTACGGACTAGATTAATTAAAAAGGTGAAATAAGAGGATTGATCGGATCTCGATCTAGATTATTCGATAATCGAAAATACGAAACTTATTAATTTGATTTTGAAATAAAAATACTACGTAAATCGAACAATCGATAATACTTTGTGACTCGATGCATTCGCATAAAGATTAAGCTAGGAAAAAGAAAAGTATGTATTTTCAATTCCCTGGAGCTTGTGCGAAACATGCCACTTCTATCAATAAGTTAGAAGTGAGAAAGAAAGTAGAGCGCAACATTTCTGATTATACATAAGAGGACAAAAAGAAAAAAAAAAAAGAGAAAAAAGAAAAGGAAAGGAAAAAGAACGTTTCGCACGATTATTATTTTCTTTTTTTCTTCTCTCTCTCTCTCTTTTTAAGCGATTATAACGATTCGATAATTTGTTCAAATAATTAATGAGGATAATTTATTTACGTTATTTGCGAGAATTTAGACGAATAAATTTAAATTTCTTTTTCTATTTCTTAGTATTTCTCAGTTCTCATTCAGTATTTTAAACCTAAAAAATGTTTAAAAATGTGTACTACCGTTTCAGAACATTCGTTTGAAGAGAAATAAATTTAAACACGCACAAGATGAAAAAGATTTAACTCCGAAGTCTAGTTTTATCAAAATATTAATGTCTCGAGTGCAAAATGTTTCCGTTTTCTTTTTCAACGATATCGTACAATGTTTTCTTTTCACTGAAAAAATATTTACAAATTTCCTATAAATGTTTCTTAATCTCTCCTTTGAAAATCCTCAATTTTCCTCCATGACGATACAATTCTCTGATTTCGATACTTACGATAAATAGAATATAATTTAGACGAATGATTATTTAAAATTTTTATATCGAACGAAACTTTCGATTCTTACGATGCTTACGATGCTCGGAAATGAAACTATTAGGCAGTTATCGAAGTTAGTTGAATTTGGTAAGTGGCTTAGTCGAAGTTGGTAATGAAATTTAATGACACAATGAAGCCGGGAATGTAATAGAATTTTCCTTTCATAAATCAATTTGGGACTATTTGGTAGAGAGTACGATGGAAATATACCTGTTCGTGCATAGGAAAGATTCCACCGAGAATAACGTCACCATTGATACGTATAAGCTTCGAGCCATCTTCATCGCGCCCCTTCCGAATGTGGCACTCGCATACAACGAGAGAATACGAAATCCATGTTAAAATTTTCGCCACACTCATCGTGTTCGCGAAAGCTTAAATTGCTTTCTAATATCTGAAAAAATAAAATTGACAAAATTATTACGCATTTTATTACATATAACTTTACAAAATTTTGACATTTTTTTTTTTTTTTTTGTTCTCTTTTCTCTATGAGGAATTTGTGGAACTGTGGATTAAAAACGGATATTTTTTTCAACTCTTTAGATTAACATGTACATACGTGTTACAAAGATACTTTTTTTTGAAGAAGAAGAAGAATATGTATCAGGATTATTAGTCGAGACTAATCGTGGTGAAATACACAAGGGGTGTATAACGTAACGTGAAATAAGATGGATCGAAAAATGTATGTTTCTGTAAAATTCGTAAATGATAAAAATGATTTAGAGGAAGGTAAATTGTTTCAAATGAAAATTGTTTCTTATTATTTGATCAGAGAATCAAAAGGATTTAACTAATCTAACTTTAATTAAAATTTAAAGTTTGAAACGAAATATTTACAAATGCAAAAGTTTCATAAAATCAAATAAATGTAGAATAGAATAAAAAATTATTGTTTATTTCGCGTATCACGACGACCCCTACGAGATCATTTTTGACAAAAGCTGGAACAATGTAGCTGACAGGATTTTTGTTCCCAACTCCACACAAAAGTATTGATTTAGTACTCGCTTTATCTACTTCATCCGTTTTCTCTCTCCAACGTGTTCTTTATTCTCTATTCTTTCAATATAAAAATTTTATTTACTAGTCAAACGGTAAATCTATGATATCTTTCATTATATACACTTTATATATTAATCTTTTAGTTAAAACTTTATTTAAAATTCGATGTATCAAATATATCGAGTTTTAAACGGCATTAGAATCGAAAGTTGAAATGAATTTGAATAAAGGGTAACGTAATTGTAATTTGTTACATTAATCTACTTGTTGTTGTAGTGCTTGTTGTTACTTATTTACAATTAATTATCGTGACCGAGAAAGGATTTATTGCATGAAATGTTCTTTGTATCATGTTGAATGGAAAAACCAATCATCCAATTATTTATTCGTATTATGGTTCAGTTCATGATATTGATCTTCAAAATTGTACAATTATAACAGGAAATGGCACCTCTCCGATATAAAAAGAACTGATTGCTCAATTGGATTTAATTTGTTCGTGGAATATAATCATTGAAGCAGAAATCGGATTAAAACATTTATGAGAATTAATTAAGGATTATATTTACAAAGTCTAAATATTAGATTTGATTGTGGAATACTAAATAATAACATTTGACCGATAATCTAAATACACATGGTTAGTGTGTGTACAAATGTTTGTAAAAGTTCATCCTTTGAGAACAATTTTCGAACAATTCAACAAGCATAGTGTTGCATTGTCTATCGCGAATAATTTTAACTGATATATTGCATAGAATATGAACGCAATCTGCATCTTTCGTTATGCAGAAAAATAATTAATATTCGGAGTATAAATAAATTTATAATTCATTAAAAGTATTTTCTGTTTATCCTTAAGCAATGAAATAATAATATTCGAACGAAACGAATCAATTTGTTAATACTTATTTGATAATGTAAAATAAAAAAAGTTCCAAGAATATATAATTTATTGACAAAATGAAGTATCTTACGAAAATTGATTGATTTTCGATAATTCAATTTTAAAAAATATTATTATAATATAATATCGAATTACGATAAATTGAATTGAAACAAACTATTTTTTTTTCTTTTTCAAATAAAACGAGAAAAGGAAAATTTGTTATTTGTGCAAAATAAATGCAACACTGTTAATGACATCATTTACGTGTCACGTTTCGCAGATGTAAATTCAACGTGTGCGCGTCGGTATGTCATCTGGAGTTACGAAAAATGTATGTAATTCACAGAGAGTTGAAAAATACGCCATCGTACATGAAAGTCACGTTGAACGTTCCACCTAGCCTTATCAATGGGACATATGTACTCCACTCGATACAATACGAAATATCCAAACTATTTCTTTCATTCCTGACCTCGTATCTCTCTTAAAATCGTTATATCGTACATAGGTGAATTTGTCTTGATACCGTAAAGTGGAGGAATATTGGAAGGTTTGTATATGATAAAACGTGCAGAATTCCATTAGGAAATTAAAGATCATTTTCCTTTCCCGAAAAATATTTCGAACGTAAAAAAATTTAGATACACTATTATCTTGATTAATAAAAAAAAAAAAAAAAAAGAAAATAACAAAAGGATCTTCCTTTTCCATCCTGCCGCAATTTTTGTCATTCATTTATGAGAAGAGATGAAGAATAAGAGATCATAGTGCGGATATCTTGTATTTCTGTTTATTTTTAAAATAATGGATGGAATAGTAATTTTAAGGTGGAATGTAGATACTTTTTTTGTTTAAAACTAAATCGTAAATATTCGATGTAACATCCAAATAAAGTTCCTAGATTCCTATTCCTAGAACTGATATCTAACTAAACTAAAATAACTTTTGCTAGAGGCAACGAAGTTTGTTTGAGAAATTTACTGACTGTGACGGTCAATGCTTTCGAATAAGGAAGAAATTTCGAAATAAACATTGTAGAAAGTAACGTAATAGAAAATATGATTAATCATGTCATGTTTCTTTGTAATTCTAGTATTCTTAAATTTCAATTAGGTCGTTCGTATTTTAAAGATTTGATTTTAGTTTTAATTTAGCTTTTACATAGTCAAGCTTTTGTTGTAAACTAAATAGAAAGTGATTTAAATTATCTTGCTAAAATGTTCATTCCTTTGTAGGGAGATAAGATTAAAGAACAACGAATTAACAGAAGAGGATTAAAAAAATTTTTTTTACCCCTGTTTGCACAAGTTGATGTTTTACAATTATTCCAGATGAAGTTCAACAAAATAAAATCCGGTATATCAATTGTTTAGAAAAAATTATTTAGAGAAAAACCGGTGAAAAATGATATATAATTTATATTTATATTTGTATTTTATAATTATATCACGATCAAAAGTAATATAAATATAAAACATTATAATAGAAATAAATTGTTGTTACTATTAAGTTATTAAGTTGTTACCATAAATAAATCATTTGTGTAATCATTTGTAAATCATTGTAAATCATTGTAAATCAAACGTGATCGAGACAAATCTTTCTAAAAATTTATTTTATTAATTTTTCTGATTCTTTGTTACAATAGAAAATTTACAATTTCTACGTAAAAACATATTATCCTTGTGCAAATCGCTGCAAAACTATTTTGAGTTAAGCTTGCCTTATGTAATATTGTATCGAAAACTTTTTACTATCTTTATGAAGATCCATGGATAATTTATTAAAAAGCCCACGTAACGTTAATAATTATAACGAAATTAATAATAATTGATAATTTTATAACAATCGATAATCGTTTATATAACTCTTTAAATCATGCGTAATTTCTCTATAATTCGGTGTATGCGGTGAAATCTCAACTTTGAAAACTCTTTCATCTATCAATCATTTCCACGAATCGAACTCTTGATAGAAATTTCCGCGTATAAGGAAAATTCTATCGTAATTTCGAGTAAAGGAAAAATTCTATCCGTAATTTCGCGCTCGATCGCGTTATCAATTTTTCAAATGAAAAGAATTCGCCGCATGGTGTCCAAAAAAACGATATTAGACTGTCAACGCCTTTATTCTCCACTGCAACCAATATGTTTTCTTCTGTACATCGCATTTCTGCTCGACACACAATGAAATACGAAATACGATATTTATTTCAGCGAAATTTATCACGTGTTTGCTCGAGGAGAAGAAATTGTTTTTTTTTAATAAAAATTTTATCTTACTTCTCCGTATCATTCAATTATAATTATAACAAATCGATCGAAGATCTCGTTCCAAGGATATATTTGATTATTGGCATGACATTTGATTTGAAGGTTAAAGTGAAGAATAACTTGAAGGTCATTTGAAAGTCAAAATGAATGATCAATACCATTTGTCACGTTGGAGGAATAAAATTATTTTAAAGATTGTCTTAAGCTAGCTCGAAGATCAAGATCATTTAAAATGGCTTGTGCAAAATAATGTTTTTGAAACTAACATAACACCATTCTCCGCGTACGAAGTTGTTTAGTACTAATTTAAAAAACAGGCAATTAGGCATAAAAGAATTGAAGCAATTTGAATAACTTGAAATTTACGAGTTACAACAAATGTTTTCCATGTCACAAATCGTAACAAGCAACGTTTCGAAAGCAGGTTGTAGATAGGAATGTAGCCTATGACATCAGAAAACTATTAGTGTAACTGTTACGGAATGCATATATTTTTAGTGGGATAAAACGTAAATATCAAAATTGCGTGACTGTTTTCCAATAACGAAAAATGTGCCCTTTAATCTTCTAAAGATTAAATCAGAAAAATCTGTCGAAACAAAAACCAAAACGTTAATTATTATATGCTTTTTGTAAATGTATTTTTGAAATGTGGTTGTCAAATTTTTTATAATTCTCAGAGATGGATATTTTTATTTCAATTTAAAATTTGCAAAATCCTCCGTATAATTTCCTTTGTGATGAATTTATTTCGTAAATTCAGAATTTTTTCAATTTTTACTCGATTGTTTATAAATATTGCATTTTCTAAAGATTTAAGTATCTTTCTTTTCTTGTATTAATTGTATTAACGAGTCCCAAAAAGATTTCAGTTTCTTTAATTATAAAATGCATAAAAATAAACTGTTGTCTTAACGGAACATCATTTCTGAGAAAAGATATTTTAACAGAGATATCGAGTTCCCTTTGCAGTTTCCTTTAATTCGTCCATACGTGAAGTAAATATTTGCCCATTCGATATTGGTATAAGTTATCCAGCTAGCACTTTATTAACTGCATTAAACATATAGAGATTAATTTTTTTAATTTATTATCACATATCTTGTTTTTCACGGCACAATTTTCCTTTCTCCAAGATGTCATTTTTTTTAATTCGTAATAAATCATAATATCAAAGAGAAATTAACAATAAGAAGGAATAAAATTTACAAAAATTAATTTAAA